AGCCGCTGGACCACCAGGGGCCAGAGGCTAGAAGCTAAGTGGCCCTGGCTCTTGCCCCCATTTGAAAGCCAGAATGTTTCAAGGAGGCAAAAACTAAAAGCACGTACAAAGTTTATTATTAGAGACACAGCACAACAAGTGGGAGAGCACACAGAGAAACGGTTTGTTTGTCAGAGACTGAAGCAAGGCAGAAATACACACCTGGAGAGAAAGGGTGTAGGCGTCTTCTAATGAGCGCAGTAAAGAGGTGATCTAAATCATTTATTTAGGACAGTCCTTCCGGGTCTTTGTTTACCTTTGGCCAATTTCTTGTTTCTTATTCCACGCCTGACCTGTCCTAGGACTCTCCCCAACATGCGTGCTAACTTTTTGCTAAGATGGATCCCACTGCAGAGGCCGATGGGGGTCTTGGCATCACTTATTATAGGGTGGCACCCCCTCCTTTTTGACCCCCCCCAGGGAGTCTTAATGTGCCTGTGCAGTCAGGGAGTTTTTCTTAACCTCAGGAGTAGTCATCTTATCTCTTCAGCAGAGCTCAGTTTTTGCCACTAACTTTGTCCTTGGAGTGTCTGGGGGAGAACGAAGCTTCAATTTTACTGCCCTTGACAAACACCAGCTGTCCAGGCCAGGGGCCCATCTACTTCCTACCTCAATTCCTTCTATTAATATTACTCAAACATGCAGCAGCTCAAATGTTTGTCCCATGAAGCAGAGATTTTTTTGTTTTGTTTTTATACAATTTTGAAAGGTTGCCTTCCCTTTACAGTTATAACCAAATATTGGCTATACTCCCCATGTTATATATTGGGCTGGCCAAAAAATTCGTTCAGTTTTAAGTAAAAATGAAAGACACATTTTTCATGTTCACGAAGGACTTTATTGAACAACGGTTTCACTAACCGAACGAACTTTTTGGCCAACCCAGTAATACATCCTTCAGCTTATCTTACAGCCAATAGTTTGCACCTCCCTGTTCCCCACCCCTGTACTGCCCCTCCCCTCCCACTGGTAACGACTAATTTGTTCTCTATATCTGTGAGTCTGCTTCTTTTTCGTTATATTCACTAGTTTGCTGTAGTTTTTAGATTCCACTTATAAGTGATATAATACAGTGTTTGTCTGTCTCTGTTTGACTTATTTCACTTAGAATAATGCCCTCCAAGTTCATCAGTGTTACTACAAATGGCAACATTTCATTCTTTTTTATAGCTGAGTAGTATTCCATTGTATATATATACCACAGCTTCTTAATCTATCCATCTGTGATGCACACTTAGGTTGCTTCCGTATCTTGGCAATTGTAAGTAATGCTGCTATGAACATTGGGGTGCATGTATCTTTCAAATTAGTGTTTTTGGTTTTTGGTTTCAATCAGTGGGATTGCTGGGTCATATAGTAGTTCTGTTTTTAGTTTTTTGAGAAATCTCCATACTGTTCTCCACAGTGACTACACCCGTTTACATTCCCACCGACAGTGTTTTTCTTTAATCATTTTTTGTTCATTGATGTAGTCCCTACACCAAGAATAGTGCTGAGCATGGAGTAGACTCTTAAATACTTGTTGGGGCTTCCCTGGTGGCGCAGTGGTTGAGAGTCCGCCTGCCGATGCAGGGGACACGGGTTTGTGCCCCGGTCCGGGAAGATCCCACATGCCGCGGAGCGGCTGGGCCTGTGAGCCACGGCCGCTGAGCCTGCGCGTCCGGAGTCTGTGCTCCGCAACAGGAGAGGCCACAACAGTGAGAGGGCCGCGTACCGCAAAAAAAAAACCAAAAACAAAACAAAACAAAAAAATACTTGTTGAATGAATGAATGAATAAGGATAGAATAAAATCTCCACTTACGCATGCCAACAATATCACCTTCCAACAGCTCTAAGTGTCAGAAGACCTGGCCTCTCGTCCCAGTTTTTCCTCCTCAAGGTAAAAACCTCACCCTGTTGTTTAATTTTTCTGACTGTACAGTGGGGAGCAGAGTAGCCCCTTTCCCGCTTACCTGATGGGGCATCTTATGGAGCTCCCAGAAAGCCTGCGGAGGAGCAGACCTAATCTAGAGCAGGGCTTTTCAGACCTGAACGCATGCCTGAATCTAGGAGATCTTGTTAAGTTGCAGACTCTGATTCGGGTCTGGGTGGGCCCGAGACTCTGTGTTGCTAACAACCTCCCAGGTGATACTGATTTCCTGGTCCTTGGGCCACACGTTGAGTATCAGATGTCAGCTCTAAAACTAAAAGGATGATTGGTACCTGGAGTCATGACAGTGCTAGCTCCTCTGACATGGCAAGGAGCAGAAACGGTCTTCGGGTTCATAGGCCCTTCAGCGATGTCCCAGGAACCGTAGATACTCACTGCTGCTGAGTTAACAACGCTTTCCTCATTTTATTAGCTCTTCCGTGACTGGACGTTAGCCAGAGCTCCCTAGCCAAACACCAGCTAGAGTTTGGGGTCTTGTGATCCTGTGTATGCGTTTGGGCTCGTAACCTTGGGGCCTGTTCTGTATTTGTCGGTCTCCTTCATTTGCTCCTTTATTTGTTTTGGATGTGACTAATCCCACAGAGCTCTTGGGCCTGTAGCCCAAGGAAGGGTAATTTGTAAACTGATGTGTTTTCCAGGAGACATTTAATCTGAGAATTTTTGCTCGGCTTCAGAGGGCTTATTGTGTAAGAGGCACGCTGTATCCGGCTAGGGAAGAGGCTCTGATGAAGAAATAACATCCAAAGAGACAGCAGAAGGAGGCCTCTCCTCCCAGCTCTGTTGCTGAATTCACTGCTTGGTATTCCCATGACAACAGATGCTGAACATCTCGGCATAAAAAATATGTCCAAACCACTTAGTTCATGCGGTCGATTTCGTGGGCAGCAAAATGGTTTAGGTGCTCCCTTGATGCTCTTTGTAAAGGGATTTCCCACGCAATCCAAGGGTGAGTGACAGTTTTAAGGGTTTTAAGAATTAGTCCTGACAATTCCTCTAAAAGGAGAGGTTGTCTGGCTGCTGAGAGTTGGGACAGGGAGAAAACGGGGGTAGGGTCAGGGTACAGTACTAATCCCTGAGCTACCTTTTGTATAGGGTTTTGGTGCATCTGAAAGCCCTTTAAAATACAGGAACTGGGGATTCCCTGGTGGTCCGGGGGTTAGGACTCTGTGCTCTCACTGCCGAGGGCCCGGGTTCAATCCCTGGTCGGGGAACTAAGATCCCACAAGCCATATGGTGTGGCCAAAAATAAGAAAAATATTCTCTTGGGACGTCCCCGGTGGTCCAGTGGTTAAGACCCCGCCCTTCCAATGCAGGGGATGCAGGTTCCATCCCTGGTTGGGGAACTCAGATCCCACATGCCATGCAGTGTGGCCCAAAAAACACAAAAAACAAAATACAGGAATACATGTTACCTCGTTGAACTTGCCCAGGTTGACACAGTCAGTAATGTTGGAACCCAGTTTATGACCTTTGACCCCATGATTTTTGGTTCCGGCTCAGAGACCTAACAAGTCAGGGTGCTGGAGTGACCAGCCATCCCGGTTTACCCAGAACCTATCCAGCTCTAGCACGAAAAGTCTCATATCTCGGGAATCCCTTCCCAGTTTTACAACTGAAATGGTCTTCCTAGATGGGAATGAGACTTGAACTGAGATTTATTCTACTTATTGTAAAGCCCTATTTCTGCTGTACCTATTTCTGCTTCTCACACTTCAATGCAGAACCACTTGCTTCAAAGGTAGATTTGGATTCAGTAGGTGTTGGGTGGAGCCTGAGGTTCTGCAGTTTTGACAAGCTCTGGGGAATGCTGATGCCACTGGTCCGGGACCACGCTTTGTGCAGCGAAGCTCTAAGCTACTGCTTCCACGGGAGAGGGGAGCCCTAAAGCTCAGGCATCCTTCCAGAGGGCTCCCAAGTGAGCTCCCACCATTGGAGACCTTCCTTGGCCATCAGCCCAGAGAGCCCACCTGAACCATGGGTGATGGCCCTGCCCGTTCATCAGCGGGGGCTCTAGGTGACTTCTCCCCTCTCCACTGACCCCTCTGACCCCAGACGAGCCCTCTCCATTCCCTTGGAGCCTCACCCAGCTGCCCTATTCCCTTGACATTCAGTAAGGGACCTCAGTGCCAAGTTTATGTCTCTTGAGACTCAGGTGCAATCTTGGGAAAGCCAGCTAAAGGCTCCCCTGCATGGGCATCTTCAGACCAGTAGGTTGGTCCCCTTAAGAGCTGAGTGAACAGACACGCAAAACTCAACTACATTGTCATAGGGACCTTGTATTTTGGGAACTTGACCTAATTACTTGTGGTTAGGGATGCTTCTGCCTGTCATTACATAGATGTCTGGTTATAATGTTAAATTCTGGGATCCCCTGCCATTCCGAGTACCAATGTTTTGAACTCATAGAAAGAGACCGTCTGCTTTAAATTTCAAAAGATGGAAGGTAATGTTGGTACTGGCATACTTGAGATACTTATGGGGCACTGGATCTGTCCAACCCAGCGTCTGTCTAACATTGTCCTTCTGATTAGGCCCCGTCTGAATATTCATCAACAAATGCTGCAAGATATCGTATCTCAAAAGCTATGAAGTGTCTCGTATAAAGCATGGCCTGGGAGGCAGCAAGACTTGGGCTTGAGTTCAGACTCTGCCACTTACAAGCTGAGCAACCTTGCACCAGTTGCCATCTGAACCTCAGTTTTCCCATCTAGGAAAAGGGTTTATTCATGGCTATCTCACAGCACCATGGTGAGAATGGATGAAGATCGTATGTGTAAGATGCTGACACATAGGGGCTACTCAGTAAATACCACCGTCTCCACTGTCAATTATTCTTATTCTGCCCTCAAGAAACTGAGCTAGAAAAGAAGTATTTGGTCTTGGTGGAATGGAGAAGGCAGATGGGAACCACTAGATTTGAGAACTGACAGCAGAGCTTGGGACAGCCGGGTCAAGGACAGACAGCAGTGTTCCTGTCTGTTCTGCCCTCCTGCATCTCCGCTAAGAAATCGTGTTGACTTGTCTCCACAGGCACAGGGAGGATTTGGATGGATGATGTCGCCTGCAAGGGCACGGAGGAAAGCATCTTCCGCTGCAGCTTCTCCAAATGGGGGGTGACAAACTGCGGACACGCTGAGGATGCTGGAGTGACATGCAAGAGACACTGACAGTGGGCACAGCCCAAGGTCCGGACCCAGCTGCCAAGCCTCCTTCCTGCATTCCTGGGGTGGGGGCATCGCTCGGGGCTCCCCTGACCCATGCCTCCCCGCCCAGCACCCCCAGACCCCCGGATTCCCATCCCAGGACCCATGGTGGCCTGTCATCCTCCTCTCCTTGGACATCTTTTCCAAAGCACAACTCTGGGATCTACTGCCTGTCTCTCCCTTCCACCAGGGTTCCTGCATGGAGCCCTGGTCAACTGGATTGCCGTTTTGCCAAGTCTTCTAAAACACCATGCGTCAGGCCTCCGTATCCATGCTCTCTGTGGTCTGTGAGTTACAGATAAATGTTGGCCACAAATGCATCCGTGAAGATGGGAGGGAGGCATCCCAGATCGTTTACTCCGCAGATTATTCCCAAACCTCAGGCCAAGAGTTTTGACCAGCCAGAGACAATACTGAGTGATTCATTTTCCCCCTTTACTCTGCCTCTGCACAGCGTTTGTTAGTTGGGGGAGCTGACATAGAGGAGAGGCCAGCTGTAGGAGCCAGAGGGAAATGCAAGTCTCCTGCAGGAACCAGTCTGGATTCAGAGAAGAGGAGTGAAAGGAACATTTATTGAGTGACTGGCACGCGTGCTATTACATAGTATCTTGGGTGCTAAATTCGTTTATCACTTTGCAGCATTCCTATAAGTCACGTTAGTGTGGGTACCACGTCACCGCCAGGTAGCATTCAACTGACCCCTTCACCTGACCTATTAGTCAGATCGAGAATGACTGAGACCACTGTTGCTACCTGAACTTTCCTGTGTCTTGGCCAGGCTCGAGCAAGAAGCTTGGGTGCAGGACGGGTGTGACTAGAAGGTTACATACTCCAAACCCCACAGGGTGTGAGTTCAAGGTCAGACAGGACTGGCTCCCAGGGCACCCATCTACACAGGAGGAAAGCTGATTTGGAGGGGGACATGGGGGCTGTCTGGGTTAAACCAAGATCAGCCCTCAGTTATCTGGCAGTCAGGGTTGAAGCTATGTCGCCTGTGTCTCGGAGCTCTTTGGAGGTGATGGTATGGAACCTTCCAGGCCTCTTTGGGTGTCATCCTGTGGTCAGGAGAACACATGTCCTGATGGAGCCTGTAAGAGTGAAAGGAGGGGACTTCCCTGGTGGCGCAGTGGTTAAGACTCCGTGCTCCCAATGCAGGGGGCCCGGGTTCGATCCCTCGTCAGGGAACTAGATCCCACATGCATGCTGCAACTAAGGAACCCACGTGCCGCCACTAAGGAGCCGGCGAGCCGCAACTAAGGAGGCCGCGAGCCTCAACTAAGGAGCCCGCCTGCCTCAACTGAGACCCACTGCAACCAAATAAATAAATATTAAAAGAAAAAAAAAAGATTGAAAGGAAATGAGGATTCCCTACAATCTCTGGGGGAAGAAGAGGCCGTGGGCCTTTGCAAGTCCTCAATCTGCACCCCTTTCCTAGTGATGGGGAGATCGTATTCTGCTTTTGACACGAGGAGGAGGTCAGACTGGGCCATATATGTGTTCTAGGCCTGGGGACCTACATGGTAGCAAGTGAACGCAGACCCTCCTCCCTTGAGGGAGACACAAACTCAGTCAGGCCTCAGATACGCAATCACCTGTCCTATCTGGTGAGCACCGCTTGCCTGGGGAAGGTGACAGCTGGGACCCTCTGGGTGTAAGACCAGCAAAGTTCCTGGCTGACAACTGAACCAATACGTGCGATTGGTTGTTCTTTGCGAACCATATGCTTGTTATTCATTAATGTCCCAACAATCAGAGACTCTCCTTCTGACTAATTGCTATGTTTACATAACACGCATGTACTCATGCATCTTTTCCCAGAGCCAATATATGTATGCATATATGAACACAGCACTCTTTACTATAAATAGCTCAGCACACCACAAATTTTGCATTAAAAAAGAAAATACTCAAGGTGGAAAGATGTCACATTGAACGATGTAAATTCCCAAGTCCGTTCTGGCAAAGAATCCAGTTATCCTACCAACGCAGACGTACATAACTTTCTTACTTGGTCTTTTCATTCGGGAAAATACAAGTCTTGCTTTACATCAAAGAAAAACGACGGTGATAAGTGTCTGAACCTTAAAATAAAAGTCTACTAGTTTACATTCCTACTTAAGAGGACATGGAAATAAAATAACCATGGACCTGTATTTCAGGGACTAAAGGAAATTAGGCCAGGCCTAAAATACATCAGACCTTTTATAAGAAAGAATTTCAATAAAGCTAAAAACATGTTGCTAACAAGCTTCCCCTCATATTCTTTCTCATGAAAACCCGGTGAGCGTGGGGAGGACGGGTGAAAATTGGATCGTCTGATAATTTTTCAGCGGGAATTGGTGGAATGGGTGGCTTATGAGAAGCTGTCTTAATACTTCCAGAGGTCAATAACCACAGTCTAGACCAAGAACATGGTGGTACATGATGTCTTAAGCCCTATTTGGTAACCTAAGGAAAGGGTCCCAAGCAGCAGAACAATAATCATGGCCCAGCTCGTAAGGGAATTGCTTTCATAGTCATTAAAGGAAAGAACACCTATTTCCTCAGTTCTCCAGAGTTCTTACTTGGGGATGTGCTCTCATCTGGAGTTCCATTCACAGATAAGAAGACCGTCCAGAGTTGGTACAAGGTCTGTGACGTCACTGGGCCTCGTCACCCAGTGAGAGGTATGAACTCCCAGTCACAGGACCTGGGGAGAGTGTGGGGATGGCCCAGGTCACCGCCTAGTCCTGGCCACAAACTCATAGCTGCACCTGTGGGAAAACCTAATGGCCCAAGCTTCCTGTAGGCCATAAAAGTTTGCCAAAGGAAGTCAACAGAGAAAAGTGGACTTTCTGGAAATGCACAAAGGAGGCATCCTGGTTTTCTCTAAAAAGTCCAGTGATACCCACCCCCAAATCACGGTGGTTCCCGTTCTATATTCAGTCCCATGGAGAACGGCGGTGGCCCTTCTTCTCCACTCTAATGTCTACAAGGCACTGCTTTTCCCTGGTCTCAGATACCTGAGAACTGACCTTCGGCGCCTTCGCGTGTTGTGGTCAAGCCAACCACTGTAGTGGGTTTGAATCATGGAAAGGAGTTACGCCGTTCTCCACCATAGGCACCGTGGTTTCTTCAGCTACATTGTGTTCTGACAGTTACTCTAACATTTCTGTAAGATGTCAGCTGTGTGAATCACTTGTCTTTCTCTTCTTAGAAGCGCTCTCCCTTCAACCCTCCATATGAGAAGCGCTCTCCCTTCAACCCTCCATGGAACATCTTTCCCTTCCTTTTCCTCTCCTTCTCCTCCACCTTTCGCTTCTGGGAGCCGAGGTGGGTTCTGACTGACTGGAGCTTTGTTATCGAATCCTCTCCACCAGCTCAGCCCCCAGTTAGAATAGGCTAAGGAGCTTTCTGGGAGGACCCCCAGTCCCCCAGGTCATCCTCCCACCCCGGCTGGAGGGAACTTGAACGATTCCCAGCTCTGTATGAGTTCTGGTAATGATGCCTTCCTCAGAGGTTGTTCTAGCTGGCCTCCTGGGGTTCACACAGATTGGTATTCAGCGGACAACTCGAGGGAACCCTATACACCTTTCTGGAAATTTCTCTGCGTAGCTCCGTACTCTCGGATACTGTGCCCTGCAAATTCCAGCCACCTTGGCCTACCCAATCTTCAATTCTCCTCACCTCCGCGAGTTTGCCACTTGGCCGCAGTCAGCAGGGAACCTAGGCCAGGGGAGGCTCACCTCACTTGCTATCTTCTTCTCAAGGAGCAAAGACTTATGCTACCTGTGGTCCAAAGTCTGAAAATATTTTGTCAAGTATTTTGGACAATTTTCTAGTTATGACAGAAGGAGGATGATTCTGGTAAGGACTCTCTCATGGCCCAAAGCAGAAGTCTGCCCTGTGGGTATTTTCTGGTGGGAGAGAATCATAAGGGAAGAGACTTCGTGGTTAGAACTCAGCATGACATGAGGATCTGGTGGAGACTAGTTCTGGAAAGAGGCTCTCCAGGTGGGGAGAGGGCTCCCCTGTCACCTTCTCTCACGGCCCCCGACCGCACAGACTCCTTCCAAAGGTCAGCTCCCCGGGGCTGCTTGCATGCTTCTCCTCAGTACTTGGCCCAGTTAAACTAAGGATGAGCAACGAGGAAGTAATTTCAGAAAGAGACAAACAGCTTTCAAACAGACAAGTCTCCAAAACGGAAGTCTTAGATCCTTCAAAAACTACTTGAGTTGTGGTCCCCAAGAGCCGGTAAAAATGTCCTGGCTCCTTGCCTGGCCCGCTTGCCTCTCAGCCCCTGCCTGTGTCTACATCATGGGTGCTTTCTCATTTCCCATCTTGTTCTCCTCAACAAGCAGAAACGAGTGCACTGGCTCTGTTGCCTCCAGGACCTCCAGTCACTGAGAGCTCATTCTGGGCCCAGGGGAAGACCTCATCCTTCTGCTGCTGACGGATACAGATCACTTTAACAGGCACAACGGATCACCTTTCTCTCCCGGTGGAAACCCAGGGCAATGGTTCTGACAAAGTTCTTGCCCTTCCTTCATCTGCATGTTCACTTAATCCATAATTATTGAGTCTCTGCCACGTGTGAGGCCCAGACCAGGTATAGGAGATATAGGACCAGACTGATTTGGTCCCTGCCCTCAGGGAGCTTACCTTCTAGCTCTTATATCCTTTTCACAGGCTTTCAGTATAACATTAACCACACAAGAACAATAATATCTAACAACAGGAAATGCCCAGGTGAGGGAACAGTGGTTGCCTGCCATGCTACTTATACAAAACACAAATAGCTCAATTGTTTTTTAAAAAAATCATCTTCATTGCTAATGAGTTAACAACAGCATAGGTGGCTCTGGTTATGCAAATAATCAGCAAATAGGAAATGAGGATGATTGAACACTAAGTACACATGCCCGTTCATTCCAAATAGCAGTACATAAGCAGAAACAATAGCTAACATCCCTTTAGCGTTTAACGTGGGACAGGTTCTTCGGGCTTTACAAGAATGAACTCCTTCAATCTTTACAACCACTGGTTCTGTTCTAATCATTCCAGTTTTGTGGGGGAGACTCGGGCACTGAGAAGATCACACAGTAAATGAAGAAGTTAGGACTTGAATCCGAGAAGTCTTAAACACTACACTCTATGTAGCACAAGCAATGATAGTACTAGAATTCTATAAGGTTACTTATATACCTGCCATACAATCTAGCCATTTCAGTCCTAGGTGTTTATGGAAGAGAAATAAAAGCACGTGTTCACACAAAGACCTGATATATTAATGTTCATAGAAGCTTTATTTCTAATACACAAAAATGTATTTTTTTGTGTGTCCATCAGTGCCCAGCAACAGGTGAATGGATAGATAAATTGTGAACAATGGACATAATTGTGGATGAACAGAGCCAAAGCTGGAAGTTTAAAAAGACAAATAATGTTGATAGATTTGAGGCAAAACTGATCAAGAAGAAAAAGAGGTGAAACAAAGAATATGTTAGGAATGTAAACAAGGACAAAGTAGAGACGTAGCAGAGAATAAAAAGAAAACAAGAGAATATTATAAACAACTTTATGTCTATGAATTTTTTGAAAACTTAGATGAAATTTAGATGAAAATTGAGATGACATCACAGGTAATTTTTTTTTTTTTTTTTTTTTTTGGGTTACGCGGGCCTCTCACTGTTGTGGCCTCTTCCATTGCGGAGCACAGGCTCCAGACACGCAGGCTCAGCGGCCATGGCTCACGGGCCCAGCCGCTCCGCGGCATGTGGGATCTTCCCGGACCAGGGCACGAACCCGTGTCCCCTGCATCGGCAGGCGGACTCTCAACCACTGCGCCACCAGGGAAGCCCACAGGTAATTTTTAAATGCCAAAATGGCACCAAGAACTTGAATTAGTGCAATGACTTTTTTTTAATTTATTTTTTTTATTGGAGTACAGTTGCTTTACAAGGTTGTGTTAGCTTCTGCTGTACAGCAAAGTGAATGCGTTATATGTATACATAAATCCACTCTTTTTTGGACTTCCTTCCCGTTTAGGTCACCGCAGAGCATTGAATAGAGTTCCCTGTGCTACACAGTAGGTTCTCATTAGTTATCTATTTTATAGATAGTGGTGTATATTGCAATGACATTGAAAGAAATAGAATCTGCAGGTGGTTGAACAGATAAGCTGTACCAAACATTCAAAGAACAGAGTGTGGGAATCTTACA